CTTTAATAAACGAGCAGGAGTGTTTTATTAGGTTTAAAGACACGATCGCGCAGCGCGTGTGGCTTTAGACCTAATAAAACACGACCTGCGAGTTTATTAAACGGCTTCAAACACGACTACAAATTCAATAGATTTACTGCTTTATTAGTATTCTTGATATAAAAAATACTAATGAGGACACGACTACAATAGATACTGCCTTATTAGTATTCTTTATATAAAGAATACTAATTAGGAGTGTTTTATCAGGTTTAACCAATAAGTTTATGAATTATTAATGAGTGTTTGAAGTACTATTTAAAAAACGAGCAGGAGTGTTTTATTAGGTTTAAAGCCACGAGCGCGCAGCGCGAGTGGCTTTAGACCTAATAAAACACGACCCGCGAGTTTTTTAAATGGCTTCAAAAACGTATGCATAATAAGTCAAATCTTGATATAAAAATCTTTATATAAAAATCTTTATATAAAAATCTTTATATAAATATCTTTATATAGTTTGCATAACAATGGTCTTTTGTTAAAGTGTTCTTTAGCTGGTATAAAGACGTATGCACGTGACTAATTTCTTACTCAAGATTGGATAATTGCTTCATGAATTATTAATGAGTTTTTGAAGGTTATTTATACACTGGGTACATACATTTTGTTTTTAGTGACAGTTTAAAAACAGCAACTTATATAATCCATAAAGTATAGATTTTTGTTTTGCAAAGAGCAGATAGCGCACTAGACTATACATAGTGAAACAAACTGTATTGCATCCTTCATAATTATTAACTGCTACTCTTTCTATAGGTACGTTTTGTATCTGCATTTACTAACTGTGTAGTTAAGCGTTTTTCATGGGTTTATGCACAACATTTCAAATTTTCAATCAGCATCGAGCCATCATGGACTAGTGCATACCCAAATTTGCATGGTCTATAGCATTCTTCCAAAGCAATAACTTGAGTGCTAGTATGGGGCAACCTCATAAAATTCTCCAAACAAAAAACCTCCTTAACTCCGAAATGACCTCTATCATGGGAGTCTGGATTGATCTGGATTTAAGTTTAGACAAGAAATCCATATTTATTTAGGTCTTAAGAGGTTAACCCATCGGTTCGCATTGCGCCCCACTTTATTATTTTACTCAGTCTAATGCCAGATTATTTTACTCTGTCTAACGCCAGACGATTTATACGTCAAGGGGAGAGCTCTGGCACTTAATGGGTTAAATCAGATTTATACAAGAGTAGTGGTGCACCAGAGCTAACAGTTACGCTCGGGCGTAAGCCCAGAGCGAGGGTACTAATTCCGCCCGGCTATTTACATCCGGAGAAAGGAACGCACTAGCGAAGTATAAAGTTCATCAAATATCGCGGGCGCATGGTGTATGGATGGTCATCTCACTGATCTCAAAATATGGCTGTTTGCCAGGAGTGAAGAAGGGGAAAATATAAAAAATACATGTAAGAAAGCTTGGGAAATCGTTTCACATAACAAATCGCAAAACTTTTTTTCAATTTTTAAACGTAAACAATTATAAGAATTTATTTTGGTATGAGAAATCCTAAAGTGTAGCCTATAGGGCAAGTTTGTTTCAATTGTTTATGTATGACGTGAGCAACGCGAGCCTGCGTTCAGTTTTCATTCTGCATTCAGGCATAATTACGAATACTTCATGTTGAAACAATGTTTGGAGAACGTAGGTGAGGGGTTTTTGCATGCATGTTTTTCTAGTAATAAATTTTGAAATATACATGGAAAATTTTTATACCATAGAACAATAAAATCATAAACAAAGTAACTTTATTTCCTATTCCATTACAGGCATCAAAGTGATATACAAAGAACTGCATAAAGCAAAAATATTCTTACTGTAACAGCTGTATTGTATCATGCATAGTTAACATGGATGTGTATGATCTTATTTGGGTGCAACAATCCATGTGTAGTTACACAGCACATGTAGTAGTAATATGTTATCGCTACCAAAACAAAATTGAAAAGAGATCAAAATTCCAAACAGCCAAAGTGATGTTGACTACAAAATGATAATTATACCATAATAACTTGATTATACAGTTAGTTCAAAATGATTGGGTAATTACATCCACACATGTAATGGAAGAGATGGAAGGTTCTCTTACTTTTGGGCATCCTAATACTTTTACTATTATCAGTAGTTTAGATCTGCCGCCTCCCACTTCAGACAGCACAATTTCATTCTATGGAGTTAGAGTTTATCTTTTCTGGAATGATCATTGGTGATTGACTGTTAATAATTATTAAATTGAAATATTACAATTTCAACTTCGTTTTTGTGGTAGATATTTCTGAAAAATATGTAAAATATAATCAACATAGGTCAACTGAAATGGATGTTAAAACAGGAGTCCCACAGGGTACAATTCTTGGTCCATTGCCACTGCATTTGTTTTATACATCAACGACATCGAAAGCTGTAGTGATATACTTTCGTATATGCAAATGATACGAATGCTTTCTATTCAAATTCGAATTCGTGCTTGAAAACTTTGTATGGTACAATACAGAATGAAATGAATAAGGTTGTGAAACGGCTCAATATGCCAATAAATTATCAATCAACGCTTCTAAGACAAAATTTGTAAGTTTTAAGTAAAAAATAATTCTTTACTGAATACAGATAATACAATCAAAATAAATAATGATTTGGTTAAGCAAGTGCCGTTTGTTAAGTTTCTATAGGAGTTATAATTATAATAGACGAAGGGTTCACATGGAAGAACCACATCAGCTCAGCTCTGAAAACTATGTACAGATCAGGTCGCCTATAACTAAGACATTATACAAATTGAAACACTTTAAAATTGATTTACTACACATTAGGTTATCCATAACCTCACGTACAGGAATCTTGTTTGGGGAAATACATATCCCCCAAGATTGCAAAAAGTAATGAATGTACAATTAAAGAAAATTGTTTGAATAAAAATTAATTTGTTTTAAATCTTATTCGGATCATTTTGAACCATCATTTTTGGACCATCATTTTTGGACTTGAAAATCTTGAATGCCTACAAAATTAATGATTATCTGTGTAGTATATTTTGGTATCGATTCTTTTGTTATCAAAATAATTTGCCGGATTTTATTGTGATTATTTTAAATTAAAGCCATATAGTGATTGAACACAATTATAATACAAGTAATTCCTCCGCGTTACAGGTGAACTTTCAAAGAATATACGTCCACACGTTCCAGAGCAAAGTGTGATATTCTATATGCTTGACAAAATGGCTAAATACATCTCATCCGAAAAAAATGTCCACAAATGTAAAATCTCAGGTCTCTATATGGATTTGTCTCAATGAAAATATCAAAAATATCAAATCGTACTTCTCTTTTAAGAAATAAATCCTATTCCTTACTATCTGCTTAATGCAAATACTGTAAAAATGATGTCAACTTTTATCTCTTTATTCTTTTAACTATTTTTCTGTAAATAATCGTAATAATTATATACAGTTTTTCGACATTTGTAGCAGTTGTTTCTTATAAATGATTTTTTTTTCAAAACTAGGGGCCCCATCTAAAAGTCCAACAGGATTTCGAAAGTTTCCTAGCCCCCAGGTACTATAATTTGTAAATATTCTAAATTAGTTTGTAAATCTTTTGCGGGGAAAACAAATATATACAATACAATACAATACAATACAATACAATACAATACAATACAATACAATACAATACAATACAATACAATACAATACAATACAATACAATACAACACAATACAATACAATACAATACAATACAATACAATACAATACAATACAATACAATACAATACAATACAATACAATACAATACAATACAATACAATACAATACAATACAATACAATACAATACAATACAATACAATACAATACAATGCAATGCAATGCAATGCAATGCAATGCAATGCAATGCAATGCAATGCAATGCAATGCAATGCAATGCAATGCAATGCAATGCAATGCAATGCAATGCAATACAATACAATACAATACAATACAATACAATACAATGCAATGCAATGCAATGCAATGCAATGCAATACAATACAATACAATACAATACAATACAATACAATACAATACAATACAATACAATACAATACAATACAATACAATACAATACAATACAATACAATACAATACAATACAATACAATACAATACAATACAATACAATACAATACAATACAATACAATACAATACAATACAATACAATACAATACAATACAATACAATACAATACAATACAATGAGCCGGAGGAACCATATGGTGTCATTCTGGCGTCAGCAAAGTCGAGATCCGCCATGATTTTGGCGACACGTTTTTATGACGAGCAGATCCTCCTGTTATACTATACCGCTCAGTGATTCCAACCTACTTCAGACAATATATAGCGCAATTATAAAAAAATATTCCACGGTGTACGTACCATTTTAACCGTACAAAAGGTTATATATAATTATATATATTCTTAAATGTTCACGCTGTACCGTGATACAATGACAAAATCAAGGTCACGCAATATATTTCCAGTCAACACAGCGTTCGTCTGCCTAACAACACAACTAAATATGTCTCAGACGCATCTCTTTTAGACCAATTTTATATGGTTAAAACAACCAAAATATTGGTTGTGTTAACCATTTTTGGGTTGTTTTACCGATTTCTTGGTTGTTTTAAACCAAACAAAAATTGGTTAAATTAATACGTCTGAGACTACCAATTTAAATTGATCATTTCAACCAATCTGTTTCTACAGTGTCTATCATACATTTTTTTAATATTCTGGCATCAATTACTATGACGTGAATTTTCAAATATCATCATTCAGAATATATGATCCTTGGGTACTTACTGTTCGATAATTTGTGTTTTGAGCCCCACTCGATCAATATTTCTTTACACGCCCTCCGCCCTCTATTGCCCAAAAATGTGCAGTCCATAAGGTGGAAAGTTTTTTCTTTAAGATTCTTACCTTTTTAGGATTGAACAGATAAACGTAATCATACGTGGAGTTTTCCTTCAATTCCTTCTCAGAAACATTATACACCAAGTTATGTAGCATTTCGCAGTTTGATTCATTCTCTAGGACCATTGACTTTTTGTAGTTGATTGATCTACAACATGGCTCTGTAGCACATTCCATTACGCAATCTATCCTTTGAGAAACGACCTTTGCCATCAAAACTGTGCCATTAAGCCTGAAACCTGGAGTATACAAGGAAAATAGTGAGTAAGACACAGTTGCGACGTCGAGCATATTTCGACAATTATAGAGCAAGGAGCGAGTACCGGCCTTACTTCAGGGTTCATTTCATATGTCCAGCCGTTCGTACAGAAAGCCATAATTGAATCCATTGTCAATTATATCTTTATTATTATCAGTATTTATTAATATTAGATTACAGTAATTTATTATCAGTATTTATTAATATTAGATTACAGTATTTCCTTGGACTAACGGCACCGTGCGCCGTTTCGGGCTTTGATCCGGCTATTTACAACCGGCTATTTACACCCGAGAAAAGGAAAGCATTAGCAAAGTCTAAAGTTCATCAATATTCGCGGTCGCTTGACTATGGTTCGATGGGTGTGTGGTTGGTCATCCTGCTGATTACTTCAATTATATTGTTTTAATTCTATTATAAAAAGTCAAGATCAACAAGCGAGTAAATTATTTTCGTAAGCGACTTATATGATTTAAATTTATTTCATTTCAAAATATGAGTAATTAGTTGAAGAGTTTTAATGGGGTTTTTTATTCCAGAAATGGGACAGAGGACTCGTATTTACATGTCTGAAACAATGTGACTGCCGGTGTTAAAATTGTTGGTTGACATCATTGCCAATGACTGCATGCCGATCTTACCAAACCTTGTCCTCAAAGTCTTCCAGTTTCTCGAATTATAAATCATGCCACATCTACTGCATGAGATGCAGTCTATGGGATGGGAGAAGGTGCACGTGCAATGGCGCTTGACACAGTATTGATATTTGTAGGTGCCGAAATGGGGCGGCAGAATCTATGAAATCACAGGTTTGCATTTGAAAAACCCGCAACGTAACCACATACACTGTAATTCCACATGATGGAACTGTCTGTTTTGGTCCGATTGGCCGAGCTGGTGATCACCCTCAACAATGTTACCTTTGGGGGTAAACATTATCAGCAGAGAAGTGGTGCAGTCATGCAAGGAAACCAAAGTGGGTCCCAACTATGCTAATTTATTTGTTGGTTTAGTGGGAAAACAGATCTTCGAACAATACACTGATTACATCCCTGAGTGATTACCTTGGTAGCGACACGGGAAATCAGTGAGACAAGTGTATCATTCTTATAGATATTCTTAATGCATCAATCAATGGGAATAAACTAGTTATTTCTCTGTTCTACAAGTCTACTGACTCTCGCAGCTTTCTTCTATTTTCCTCTTCCCACCCCAGCTACAACAAAAAGTCAATTCTCTTCTTTCAATTGCTTTGCCTTCGCCACATTTGCAGTGAAGAAGACTTCCTAGCCAAAAGTCTGGATATTATAGACACTTTTTTATCCGACATGTCTATCCCATCTATCTATAGTAGACACTGCTCTTTCGGAGGCCTCCCAAATTCAACCGATCTGTATCATCTTGAAATGTTATTGAAGAGCACTAAAGAACGTTACCGAAAGCAGATTGTAACTAAAGGAGTATTGACATCTCAAAATATTTGGGAACTTACCTTCAAGACTTGAGTTATAACAAATATTCAATATTTTTATTCCTTGAACTTGTCCAATTGCCAGCAATATGATCGGAATGATCGTGAATGCAAACTGCAGAAGATATTTTCGCAAATACATGGTCAGACAACCAATCCTGAAGCTCTACAATTATGCAGATTTGGTATTGATTGAAGCTGTAAGAAACAAATAATGGAGCATTTCATTCCCGAGCCACGCGCAGATCGCGTATGGCGAATTTCACTGGGCTATTTACATCTGTGGACTGTGGAAAGGAAAGCTATAGCGACGGAAAGTTCGGAAATCATTCCAAAAAGTAAGTGGTAATTCGCATTTTAATGCAACGATAAGTATGGGAAGTCCTGAGGTATAGGTAAGTTTGTTTCTATTGTTCATGTTGATTTGCTGTTCAATTTTCTACCTGAGAGTCCTGAACATGTACAGCTTTCCTTTTCAAAGCATGCAGGTGAAAGTTTCTCTGAAGCAAAAAAGCTAAAAAAGGAGCGACATTGATTTTCGTGTACGACATGTGCTTATGATTGTATGGTGAAGCTAAATATATAAATGGGTTCAAAGCTATATTTTTTAACTATATTTACTCCCAAAGTTAGATAGTCTTTAATTAATAATCAGCGCAAACTTACTCGACCTTGAGTGACAAAGGTCAATGAACGATTGATATAAATTTAACTAAAAATTTATCGTCATGAAAGATGGCATACAATACTTTTGTATACCGAACATGAAACTCAAAGGAATTGAAATTCTGTCTAAATAAAAAATATTTAACAATTATTTTCGCCGGAGGCGATGTGATTATCGGGGAATATTCACCGAAACGAAGTCGATGTGGATATCTCCAATAATCACAGAGTCTGAGGCGAATAATTGTTTTAGTATTTTTAATTTACACAAGTCTTTTGTGTTTTTGGGACTGAGTTTATTTTAATTTCGCTTATTTCTATATCAGTATCTTCCACAAAACGGCTAGCCGTCATTTTGAAAATTTCGGTTTTGTTATATTCATCTGAGACATCTGAATATAACAGCTTAATACGTACCGTCAAATTTGACCAATCAACTTGTATGATTTTGTTATATTCACTTGTGCAAAAATACTAATATGTATATGCAGTTAGGGCAATCGCATCACTCACTTTAATTATTTTGGAAATATTCCTCCTCGCTTTCTTCACACTTCTGTCTCTGTATCACAACTGTTGGTATTCAAATTTTTTCGACTTTTTCCTACCTGCTGACGTTTTGAGTGTTAACAGGCTTGAAGTTTTCGACAATCATCAATAGAAGGCATCAAATACACTAAAAAAACAACTTATTTAAAAAAAAATTCCTGAGTTCTGGATATTTATTTTTCGTCCTGAATTTACGCAGCTACCAATAAACGTGCGCATGTGTACACATTTCGGCAGGTAAATCTCATTTGAACGTTCGAGTTTTTCTGCATGATTTTTATTTTGTGCCTACACGTCCGGTACGTATGAAATCAGATGAGTTCGAGCATTGCTCGCGATACAATACTGCGTTTCAAGCAATGGAAGGGGAATAATTGCATTGAGTACGAATTTGGCATGTCCCGTGCAAACATCAACAAAGCAAGTTTGCATGCACTTAGCAGCTGAACAGTCGGATAAAGATGACATATCTACGGAAACAGGTTAAAATTTCGCACTTCAGTAGAACTAACCAAAATATGAATTGACTTACTTGTTCCCTGATTTAGTCTTACGATAAAATCCAATACTTACTTAGAACGCAAAGCTTGTTTTAGAGCAGGGATTTTTTCGTTAGCAGACGATAAATGCTGGCTGTGTTTCGTCTTTGGCATAGTTAATTATGCATGCAGACTACATATTTAAGTGCTGTAAATATTATTATCGCACAGCATGTTTTTTTCGCCTCATGCAAATCATAAGATAATCGAAGAGTTAGTTAGGTTCCAAAACAGACTTTAAATCCATTTTTTTAAATGATATTATAGATGGATTGACGGACAGACGGACGGACGCCAATGGATAGATAGATAGAAAGATAAATAGATACTATTTGATTAAATAAATGTTCGCAGTACAACTGAATTACGACTGAGTTTACATCAAATATGTTAATAATTTATGTGTCAAGACTGCACTAAAACTATTTCCATTTTGGATTGGGCTGCGTAATTAAAAATGAGTTTTTTTTAATGAATTCGCATTTGATTATAATTGGAAGTTTAGCTATATCTTTTCAACTCTCCAAAATTAATATGAGTTGGTAGATTTTTTCAAGTAGCATAGATTGTGTGGTTTTCTGTTATCTTCGATGGAAGTGAAAACGTTTTGGCACAATTTTTCTTTTATTCTTTTGTGTTGTTGTTTTCGCTTGCTCTATTGCATCTTTGGAATAACATTGAACTCGTTCTATATCCACTGATAAGTAGTTTGGAATTAGGCTTGACTAAAAAACTTGGCAACAGAATTCTATGATGGGTGCAGTGCATGCGGTATTAAACTAAGCAGTGAAGTTCATCAACGTCGGCACGTTTCAACTGCCTTAATAAGTAAAGTCGCTTTGATGCATTTCACACAATGTTTTCTACTGTATATGACTGTTCCAATTCAGGCCATCGATGAATGACGTGCCCAGAATTTTCGCTGATTTTACAATCTCCAGACATTGATCATATGGCTGAATCGTTAGTCCTGTCAGTTCTTGACAATAATGACGTGGTATGTCACCCAGCTACTGAATACCTTATCAAACACCTACAACAAGTACAGCTCGCAGCTGCATGCTTTATTACGCGAACATTTGTTACATACTTAACTTGAGCTGGCCACTAGGCCTATATACCGGCAATTGGCCTTCGTATCTTCCTTTAAAGTTTAGAAACCCTGAAGGTCTCTCAGATTTCAATTGGTTGCTAATTACTATACTCCTATAGAAATCTTATAAAGCCCGATTAAGACGTGCATACACTGATACACAACATTCCTTGTTTGCTTTTAAAACGTGCTGAAAGCACATTGCTATAGACATCTAGAATGAACACTATATACAACTCATCACCTTGTCACATCGCCACACAATTGACACAAACAAGTATACTTTTGCCGTACATTGTATAAAATAAGACGATCAGTGAGCTAGCTTTTTAATAAACTGCTAATAAATTCATGTAATCATATTATTTCAATACTTCTATATCGAACACTAAACAGCAGATCTAAATTTAAATGCCTTCATGTATATCACCAGAAAGAAATAAAGCTATACCTTACCTAAATTATTCAAAACATATTTGTCGATGAAAATCCAACATACTCGTAAATGAAATCCTAAAGATTCAAATTGTTCACCTCCCCCTCAAAATTTACAAACATTGCTCCCCCCGAATATTTTGCACAGACATCCTCCCAAAAATTAAGATTTTGACAATACATAACTTGGGCGAAAGACTGGGGCGAGTGAATGCAGAGTGTCAAGA